CAACAATGCTGAAATAGAGAAGGCTCAAAGTCTCAGCAGACCCGAGGATAAGGAAATTTAGCTGTGTACATTGGGGCACAGGGAGATAAAAGTTTACAAAAAACTTAGAAGCTACTGAGACTATAAGGAAGAGTTATTGTAGGGAGACCAAACACAGTCTCTGGGGGAGAGGAATGTTCTCATAATCATCCATAGGAATTTATTAACACTGAGAGTAAGGCCTTGGAAGAATCACTTATAGACAGGCTCTTGGCTATCACAGTTCACTACTAAATCTTGAAATATTCTGAACAGTTTCATTTGTTGCATCTGGCTTACTATTAGTTTTCTGTTAGGCTTTCCAAGCCATTGGTTAAGATAAGCTGTACAGATTGGACTTCAAGCCAAGTGTTCTAGAATGCTCAAACCTTCAGCCAATGGGAGTGAATTAAAATTATGGGCAGATGGTGTTGAGAGAAGTCATGAGGTGAAAGGAGAAGCTATGGCCCCTGGGTGGGGGTGGGGGTTGCTGAATGGAATCTTCCCGAGGGAGGAGGAGCCTGTGGGATGAATGAAGGAGACTATGGAAGCCATGAGTTTTGGTCTCCCCAGAGGCTTTCATGTACCAGAGAGGGAAAAACTGAACTGGGGGGGGGGGAGAAGCCCTCTTCATTACAAGGCAGGGGGCGTGGCAGCTATCCTACTCCACACCTGCATTCCAGCTTCTTGTAGTGATAATTCTGTTGAAACTAATGTGCTGTTTTCATTTGTGCCCTGAAGCTGAGGCCTCGAGCACTCTACCTCCCTCCACTTTCTGTATGTTGATCCTAACAAATTACAATAGAAAGAAATGCACTGCTTTGGTTATACCTGGATAGCATTAAAACTAGAGGTGACTGTCTCTCCTGGTTGGCTCTCCTTTAAAGTGACTATTCCGGGAATCATACACTTTGTTACTTGGATAACAGTTGCATTTCATTTATCTGAGGGATATTAATTTATTTTTAGACGTTCCCAGGGAATCAAGGTTTTTAGCAGCTGCAGCATGGATGCATTCAAACAGCTGGCTTCACAGCCTGATCTAGACTGCCTCCGGGAGAAACCAGAGCCAGAGTTTGAAGCTCTGCCCCAAGTTACAATGTGTGGCAACAACATATTGGAGGGATCAGAGGAGTGTGACTGTGGCCCTGAAGAGGTTAGTGAGACTGTCCCAACTCATTCCAACACTTGGTCTATGTGTCATATCCACTCTTGTAGATTTGCATGTAATGGAAAAAGGGAGAACATCATTTGACAGCAGGCACTCAAGATTTGTAGAGTATGCGATGTTTGTCTTTCTGGGTGTAGATTACATCATGATCAATCAAAGTGCAGAGTTTTGGGGGCCAGTCCCAATGGATACATTTATGGAACACTACCATGGCTAAGTCTCGGGACATTGTGGAAGAGAGGGTAGAAAGATTGTAGGAGCCAGAGAATCGGGGAGTTTGCTATGAGATTGTGTCTCCTAGTGATATAGGACTTGTATCCATAAAGTCTCACCAACATGACTGTCTAAACATTTGGTGAATGAGGTGGGCACCAATGAAAGTGTTAAAGCAAAAGGAGAAAAGCCCATGAGGCCTCAGCCCTACACAGACCTGCCCATGACTAAGGAATGCTGAGGGGGAGAAATAATCTTCTCCAGGGAGGAACACAGCAATTGGTTATCCAATACCAACATCCGGCCCTGACAACATACATGCAAGTAACATTCCATAGACAGGGCAGGCGATATTTAAGAATATATATGTATACACACACATGCATGTATCAACAAATAATGTATATACAAATATGCATATAATAATGATTGATGGGAAAAGAGGCCATGAAGATGAAGGAGAGCAAGAGGGGAGGGCTTGGAAGGACAAAGCAGAATGGAGAAATGTTGTAATTATACTATAATCTCAGAATAATTTATTTATCTTTCAAAACATTATGTGGGGGTTTTACTTTTTACTACCATATTTTTCATTATCTAAGACAATTTTCAAGTGCAAACACATTTGGATAACATTCTTACCTTCTTTTAAGTCTCTCTAGGGTTTCCAACCTTCCTAATGCTTTAGCCCTTTAATATAGTTCCTCATTTTGGGGTAACCCCCAATATTTTCATTACTACTTCACACTGTAATTTTGCTACTATTGTGATTTGTAATGTAAATATCGGATACACAGGCTATCTTATGTGCAATCCCGTGAAAGGGTCGTTTGATCCCCCAAGGGGTTGAGACTCCAGGTTGAGAACCACTCTTCCAGATCCTTTCCTAATTCCAACCTACCAAACTTTAAGTTCTTTCTTTGAAAATAAGTAAAACTGCCATACAAAAAAAAAAAAACACAAGCCAAGAAAACAAAATAAAACCACATGCAAAAAGAGAAAAATAAACATAAAAGATAAATATTTAGAAGACAATTTGAACTATATCCATGTGGCAAAATGGTAGTCACAGGTTCTCTCTTAAGGCCTATGACATGCCCAGAAAGGAGTTCTTGGCTCCAATTACAGTGCCAGGCATTATCCCTGATCACAAAGTAGTTGGTTGCCCCTATAATGTTCATGCCACCGTGTGTTTCTCATTAAGCCAAATGTTTTAGCTCTCAAGTTTCATGGGTAAGTAAGACGGCTGATGGCTGTTCATTCCTTAGTAGCCTGAATAGCATCTTATGAAAGCTAGCCAGTAGGAAGGAGGTCAGGCTTGGTTCCTCCATGTCTTGTGATCAAAGTATGTGATATCTTCAGAAATGGGGTCCTTTCATCAGGTTCTATTGGATGGAATAGCAATGGTTTTAAGGTTGTGTGTGTGTGTGTGTGTGTGTGTGTGTGTGTGTGTGTGTGTGTCAGATTCTATGAGACCCATTGACCAACAACTCAGAGGGGCTACTCCACACCTGCTAAGTGAATTTTTTGTGTGATAACCTATGGCATCTGAAAGAGGCATTATCCCTCTGTGTGGTATAAGTGCATCTAAACTCATATGTATATATTAGGAAACTTTGAAAATAGCATATTTTTAAATAATCTATTAGTTGTTATTGTATAAGCATTCTATAAGAAAGTATGCATTAAAGATAATAAAATGACATCAATCCACTGTATTGGGATGGTCCAGTAAGTTTGGGAAATGTAATACAGGTATTTTTTTCTTTCTGTCTTCCAGGATAATGGGTTTAGTGTATCAAATATTAGCTATATACAAATTCAGCAGTTTTATGAGAGTCATACCACCATAGATTTTCATCATTTGAGTCAATTTTTGTATCGTAGCTTTTAATAAATAGAAGCTGTCAGAGTCAGGATAACTTATTTCCCCTCCCCTGTATGATATCCAATTAATTGGGGTAATTTGTTAAAAAGACTGCCTTTTCCAAATTAGCATATCCTGGTGCCTTTAGGAAGAAATGATTAATTGTCTATTTTATAAATTTAATTTATATTTTGAAATAGTATATGCTTTTAAGTACTAATTGCATAGTGTGTGTTTTTCTTAGTCCCCAAATAAAGTTTTTTCTTTCTTATGACCCCTGGTTAAGAAAGAGCAACCAGAGTGAGTAACACAGTGTGATGAGAGGAGTCAGAAGGGGGAGAAGAGTGTGTTCAGGGGTCTATTATGTTCTCAGTAGAAAAGGCGAGCAAGGGACTGCAAGCAGTAGGACTGGTGAATTTGAATACTAAGGGTTGGCTCTTCCCTCACAGGTAGGTCCCAGTTGCCAAGTGCCTGTCCCAATTTGTAAGAGCTTGACAAAGGAGGCATTTGGGGGTGTACACTTTGGTTTGGTCAGTTTGAATGTAAAAGCTGTTGTAAAAAATGGTTGTAACCATGTAGCTTATTTAAAGAAATTGGCAAAAAAAAAAAAAAAAAAAAAAGATGAAAGAAAACACACAGGAGCCTTGACCTAGCCTAGACACACATGATGATCTGAAACCCCATCATCCCCCTGCCTCTGTCCCATGGTCAGGGATATAGCGATGAGTGCATGTTAACCTGACTGGTGGAGGGCTTGTCATGAACACTAGTGTATATTGCATAATTCGGTGACTTTGGCCACAGTGTAAAGAAATGCTAGAAACCTTTAGCTCCACTACAACTTTAGGAGGCCACATATTTAGATACGCTGTGTTGTTGGCAGGGCTGTGACTATTAGGGGATGCCTGTTAACTAGTGAAGATTTATTGGGAAGCCCACAATGGGATAAAAATCAGATATCCGATTTCTAACTCCTACATTGACCTGGACCATGTTTTCTTCTCTAGACATGTATCCATAAAAATTGCTGTGACCCTGAAAAATGTACTCTGGTAAGGTCTGCGGAATGTGGAACAGGGGCCTGCTGTGACAAAAGGACTTGCAAGGTAAGCCTCACACACAGAACCTTTCAGGAATCTTTAGTATACTTCCTTCCTAGTTTTTAGAACCATCCTTCAAATGCTTTAATTTGCATTCTCTTTGGAGAGCTTTCTTTTGTTCCTAAGTCTTTTTTATTAAGTTCTTTAATTACTATTCATATTTACATATCCACCCCCATTCCCTTGCCCTCCCATCCTCCCATGTTCCCCACCACCAAACTCCTCCCCAGGGATAGTGAGGCCCTCCACCCAGGACCTTCAAAGTCTGTCATATCATTTGGGAGGAGGGCCTAGACCCTCCTTGCTGTATCTGGGCTGCAATAGTATCCCTCCATAGGGGATGGGCTCCCAAAGTCTATTTGTGCTCCAGGGTTAAAGACTGGCTCCACTGTTAAAGGGCCAATAGACTGTCTTGGCCTCCCAGCTGGCACCGACATTCAGAGGGCTTGGTTCAGTCCAATGCTGTTTCCACAGCTTTATGACTAGGGTCTCCATGCTCTCACTAGATCAGGTCAACTGTTTCTGTGGGTTTCTGTAGCACCATGATGGCTTCTTTGCTCATCCTTCCTCCCTCACCACAATTGTATTCGAGAGTGTGGGTACCTGTTTATGCTTCAAACAGCTACTGGATGAAGGCTCTAGGAATGGCAACCAAGGTAGACATCAATCTCATTATATGGGAAGGGCATCAAAGGCATTTTCTCCACCACTGCTTGGATTCTTAGTTGGGGTAATCCCTGTGGATCCCCTAACATTTCCCCTGTGCCAGACATCTCTCCCTAACTGTATTGTCTCCCTCTATCAAGGCATCTCCTTTCTTGCCCTCCTCTATTCCTCCCCTCTCTCAGGCCTCTTGTTTTCCGCACCCCCTTCCCCTGCTTCCCTTCCCACCTCCCCCCTCTCCACCCATGTCCCATAATTCCACTTTGTTCAGGGGTTCTCGTCCCCCTCCCTTTCTTCAAGGTATTATGCAATCTTCTCTTGGGGTCCTCCTTGTTTCCTACCTCCTCTGGCACTGTGGATTGTAGACTGGTAATCCTTTGCTCTATGTCTAAAAATCATATATGAGTGAGTACATAGCATGTTTGTCTTTTTGTGACTGGGTTACCTCACTCAGGATGGTTTCTTCTAGTTCCATCCATTTGCCTGTGAATTTCAAGATTCCATTGCTTTTTTCTTCTGAGTTGTACTCCATTATGTAAATGTATGACATTTTCTCTATCCATTCTTCAGTTGAGGGGCATCTAGGTTGCTTCCAGGTTCTGGCTATTACAAACCATGCTGCTGTGAACATGGTTGAACATATGTCCTTATTGTATGAATGTGCATTCTTTGTGTATATGCCCAAGAGAGGAATTGCTGGATCTTGAGGTAGACTGGTTCCCATTTTCCTGCCATACTGATTTCCAAAGTGGTTTACAAGTTTGCACTCCCACTAGCAATGGAGGAGTGTTCCTCTTTCTCTTCATCCTTTCCAGCATAGACTATCATTGTTGTTACTGGTTTTAGCCATTTTGATAGGAGTAAGATGGTATCTCAAACTGTGTTTGAGCTGGATTTCCCTGATGGCTAAGGATGTTAAGCACTTTCTCAAGTGTCTTTCAGCCATTTTAGATTCCTCTGTTGAGAATTCTCTATTCAGTTCTGCACTCCACTTTTTAATTGGATTGTTTGGTGTTTTGGTGGCTAGCTTCTTGAGTTCATTGTATATTGTGGTGATCAGCCCTCTGTCAGATGTGGAGTTTGTGAATATCTTTTCCCAGTCTGTGGGCTGGTGTTTGGTCTTGCTGACTGTGTCCTTTGCCTTACAGAAGCTTCTTAGTTTCAGGAGGTCCCATTTATTGTCGATGTCAATGTCTGTGCTACTGGTGTTATGTTCAGAAACCGGTCTCCTGTACCAATTTGTTCGAGGGTACCACCTACCTTCTCTTCTAGGAGGTTTAGTGTGGCTGAATTTATGGTGAGGTCCTTGATCCATTGGGATTTAAATTTTGTGCACGGTGATAGATAGGGATCTATCTGCAATCTTCTACATGTCCGAATCCAGTTATGCCAACACCATTTGTTGAAGACGCTTTCTTTTTTCCATTGTATAGCTTTATCTTCTTTGTCAAAAAGCAGGTGTTCATAGGTGTGTGGGTTAATAGCAGGGTTTTCAATTTGATTCCATTGGTCAAACTGTCTATTTTTGTGCCAATACCAAGCTGTTTTCAGGACTATGGCTCTCTAATAGAGCTTGAAGTCAGGGATGGTGTTGCCTGCAGAAGTTCCTTTATTTTACAGGGTTGTTTTGGCTATCATGGGTTTTTTTCCATATGAAGTTCTTTCAAGGTCTATGAAGAATTGTGCTGCGATTTTGACGGGGATTGCATTGAATCTGTAGATTGCTTTTGGCAAGATTGCCATTTTTACTATGTTGATCCTACCTATCCAAAAGCATGGGACATCTTTCCATTCTCTGGTATATTCTTTAATTTCTTTCTTTAAAGACTCAAAGTTCTTACTATACAGGTCTTTCTCATTTTTGGTTAGTGTTATCCCAAGATATTTTATGTTGTTTGTGGCAATTGTAAAGGGTGATGCTTCTCTGATTTTTTTTCTCCACCAGTGTGTCCTCCATATATAGTAGGGATACAGTTTTTTTTAGTTAATCTTGTATCCTGCCACTTTGCTGAAGGTGTTTACCAGCTGTAGTAGATCCCTGGTAGAGTTTTTTGGGTCACTTATGTAAACTATCATATCATCTACAAATAGTGAAAGTTTGACTTCTTCCTTTCCTATTTGTATCCCCTTGATCTCCTTTTGTTGCCTTATTGCTCTAGCTAGAACTTCAAGGACAATATTGAAGAGGTATGGAGATAGTGAACAGCCTTGTCTTGTTCCTGATTTTAGAGAGATAGTCTTGAGTTTCTCTCCATTTAATTTTATGTTGGCTACTGGTTTGCTGTATATTGCTTTTATCACATTTAGGTATGTTCCTGTTAATCCTGATCTCTCCAAGACTTTTATCATGAAGGGTTGTTGGAATTTTTCAAAGGCTTTTTCAGCATCTAGTGAGATGATCCTGAGGTTTTTCTTTTTCAGTTTGTTTATATTATGGATTACTTTGATGGATTTTCATATGTTGAAGCATCCCTGAATTCCTGGGATTAAGCCAACTTGGTCATGGTGGATGATTTCTCTGATGTGTTTTTTTAATTTGATTTGCCACTATCTTGTTGAATATTTTTGCATCAATATTCATGAGGGATATTGGTCTGTAATTCTCTTTTTTGGTTGTGTCTTTGTGTGGCTTTGGTACCAATGTAATTGTAGCCTCATAGAAAGAGCTTGGCAATGTCCCTTCTGCTGCTATTGTGTGGAACAATTTGAAGAGTACTAGTATTAGCTCTTCTTTGAATTTCTGGTAGAAATCCTTTAGAATTTCAAATTTTGTGGAGTACAGGTTTTCAAAGTATGACCTGATGATTCTTTGGATTTCCTCAGTGTCTATTGTTATGTTCCCCTTTTTGTTTCTGATTTTGTTAATTAGCATGCTCTCTCTCTGCCTTTTGGTTAGTTTGGATAAAGGTGTGTCTATATTGTTGACTTTCTCGACGAACCAACTCTTTGTTTCATTGAGTCTTTGTAGTGTTTTCCTAGTTTCTACTTAATTGATTTCAGCCCTCAGTTTGATTATTTCCTGGCATCTACTCCTCCGGGGAGGGTTTGCTTCCATTTGTTCTAGACCATTCAATTGTGCTGTTAATTCTCTAGTGTGACTATTCTCCAGTTTCTTCATGTGGGCACTTAGTGCTATGAACTTTCCTCTTAGCACTGATTAAAGTGTCCCATAGATTTGGGTATGTTGTGTCTTCATTCTCATTACATTCTAGGAAGGCTTTAATTTATTTTTTATTTCTTCCTTGACCCAGAAATGGTACAATTGTGCATTATTCAATTTCCATGAGTTTGTAGGGTTTCTGCAATTTGTTTTGTTGTTGAATTCTAACTTTAAAGCATTGTGATTTGATAAGATAGAGGGGGTTATTCCAATTTTTATATCTGTGTAGGTTTGCTACATTGCCCGAGTATGTGATCAATTTTAGAGAAGGTCCATGTGGCACTGAGAAGATATATTCTTTTGTGTTGAGATGGAATGTTCTATAGATATCTGATAAACCCAATTGAGTCATAACATCTGTTAGTTCTTTTGTTTCTTTGTAAGTTTCTGTCTGGTGGTCCTATCTAGTGGTAAGAGTGGGGTGTTAGTCTCCTACTATAAGTGTGTGAGTTTTTATGTGTGATTTGAGCTTTAGTAATGTTTCTTTTAGGAATGTGGGTGCCTTTGTATTTGGGGCATAGATGTTCAGGATTTAGACTTCATCTTGATGGACTTTTACTATGATGTGTATGCAAGGCCCTTCTTCATCTCTTTTGATTGCTTGTAGTTTGAAGTCTAATTTGTTAGATATTAGGATTGCTACACCAGCTTGTTTCTTGGGTCCATTTTATTGGAAAATCTTTTCCCGACCCTTTACTCTGAGGCACTGTCTGTCTTTGAAGCTGAGATGAGTTCTCTGTATGCAGCAGAAGGATAGATTCTATCTTCGTATCCATTCTGTTAGCCTGTATCTTTTTATAGGCAAGTTAAGACCATTGATATTGAGGGATATTAATGACCATTGATTGTTGATTCTTGTTTGTGTTGGATTTGTTGGTGGTGGGGTTATTGTGTGTGGATTTCCCCACTTTTTTTGGTGTTTGGTAAAGTGGGATTACCTATTGCCTATGGGGTTTTGAGCATAATTATCTTCATTGCATTGGAGTTTTCCTTCCAGAACCTTCTGTGGTGCTGGATTTGTGGATATGTATTGTGTAAATCCGGTTTTGTCATGGAATATCTTGTTTTTCCATCTATAGTGATTGAAAGTTTTACTGGATATAGTAGACTAGGCTGGCATCCACGTTCCCTTAGTGTTTGTAGAACATCTATTCATGATCTTTTGGCTTTCAAAGTTTCCATTGAGAATTTAGGTGTAATTGGGATGGATCTGCATTTATATGTTACTTGGCATTTTTCTTTTGCTGCTCTTAATATGTTTTCTTTATTCTGTAAGTTTGGTGTTTTTATTATTATGTGGTGAGGGGAGTTCTTTTTATAGTCCAGTCTGTTTGGTGTTCTGGAAGCTTCTTGTACTTTCATAGGCATATCCTTCTTTAGGTTGGGGAAGTTTTCTTCAAAGAGTTTGTTGAATATGTTTTCTGTACCTTTGAGCTGAATTTCTTCACCTTCTTCTATACCTATTATTCTTAGGTTTGGTATTTTCACGGTGTCCCATATTTCCTGGATATTTTGTGTTAGGGATTTGTTGGACTTGAGATTTTCTTTGGTCGATATCTGTATATCCTCTAATGAGTCTTCAACACCTGAGATTCTCTCCTCCTTCTCTTGTATTCTATTGGTTATGCTTACATCACAGGTTCCTGATCATTTACCTGTATTTTCTATTTCCAGCATCCCCTCATTCTGAGTTTTCCTTATTGCTTCTAATTCTGCTTTCAAACCGTAAACTGTTTGAATTGTTTCCTTAACTTGTTTGGTTGTTTTTTCTTGGCTTTCTTTAGAATCTTTAAGAGATTTATTTCTTGAATTTTTTGTCTTTTCCGCCATTTCATGTAGCTTTTTGCTTGTTTTTTCTTCTATTTCATTAAGGGATTTTCTTGTTTCCTCTTTAATGGTCTCCATCATCCTCATAAGATAATTTTTAAGGTCCATCTCTTCTTCATCCTCTGGGTTGGGCTTTTCAGATCTTGCTGGTGTGGAGTCCCTAGATTCTGGTGGTGTCATATTGGTCTTTTGTTGAGTGTGTTCTTATTCTGTCATCTTCCCATCCCTTCTCCAGTGGGTGCACATGGGGTCTCTCCCTCTCTCAGGTGGCAGGCAGAGGGCAGAGGGCAGAGGGGGTACAAGGGTGAGGTGTGTCTGGACTCAGAGTGGGCCTCCCGGTCTGTGAAGGTCCACTCTTGTACAGGGGGAGGCTCAGGAGGAATCCAGAAGGAGGTGATGGGGGATCTTGGGGACAGATCTGCTCCCAGACTCACCTCAGTCGGCAGGCAGAGGGCAGAGGGGGTACCTGTACCTAGGTCTTAAAAGTCAGAATATGAACAACCATTTGGAGCACTTCCTTCCCTGCCTCTGCCATGAGGAAAAGTGTCATTTTTTTCCATGGGGTAGATACAAAGGGTATTTTCTAATTTCCACTATGTCCTTAATTTCAGCCTGTGGGTCACTTTCTCACCTCTGCTTTTTATCATGTTCCAATCTGTCCCAAAGGCATCTCCAGCTGTGGTATGGATTATCATTCAAAATTGTCATGCCATGAATTTTTCTTTGTCCTGTCTGAATGCATTTCTTTATGTTCAAATAGTGTACAACAAAATGAAAACTAACGAGGTTCATCTGACAAAGCAGCAATAGCAAATCCCATTCTGAAAACCATTAAAAAGGGATTGGGGCCGCTGAGCCAGTGGCATGCAGCAGATAAACATGGAAGGTTGGCTCTGGCAGGGTGTCTTCTCTGAGTCCTGATGGTTAGAACCATATGTTTTCAAGGTGCCTGAAAGAAGAGGCGCATAGGGCATTCACAGACCTTGTACTTCTCTTACTAGAGCTGTCTTAACTTCTGTCACTAAGTTGGGCTCTTCCATACAGCCCATCCTTCCGTAGTGAAAATCCAGTGGTATGGTCATTAGGGAGAGCTTGATGGAGAATAGGTAAATAGGCTGTATGAGTCCATATTCATTTTGTCAGATACAATAAACTGGAAGTAGAGCCTAGCTCACAGATGCTCTACGTTATCACCTTGTCTTTACTGACTGAGTGGAGAAGGCCCTATTCTCTTCTTTGTGTTCTTGCAAATAGGTGAGTTTCCTCTAGACCTTGTCCAAAAGTTTAGCGATTTGATCCAAGTGTGTTCCTTAATGGGTTTTGTTTAGACACAAGTGCACATGAAAAGCTATGATGGATATCAATGGAATCAGCTGGTTCACCCACAGGTACTAGTGAGAAAGATGTTTGGAGCCAACACCTAGACACTCTTAGAGGCCACTGTGAGTCCAACTGGCATCATATTATAATTATGTTCCCCAGTGTGTAGACAAAAAAAGATAATGAGTCCTTGAGTGGCATCTTCATTCTGTGTGTATTTTGGGAGTCTATTTTCTTGATGGTTCTCAATCAAGCTCTGTTCCTATGTTGTAGAGCTCCATTTCTGCATCTTTTTCTTTCCTTTTTTTTAAAAACTGATTTTTAGTCCATATGGCATGATCTTTCAAAGGAATAGAGAAATCTTCTCTTTCCTAACTTCCAGAAAGTGGAGAACCAAGTCACCCTGACAAAATCTAGCCTGTTATTCATCTTTCAGATAGCTGAACGAGGGCGTCCTTGTAGGAAAAGTACGGACCTGTGTGATTTCCCAGAGTTCTGCAATGGATCATCTGAATTCTGTGTACCTGACACAAAAGCTGCTGACCTAGAACCCTGCAACAACAAGACAGCCTATTGCTATGGTGGGATTTGCCAAGACTTGGATAGGCAGTGCATGAATATATTTGGAAAATGTATGAGATGTACCTTGTTTTTTGGTTTTGGTGGGAGGCTTTTCTTAATTGATATTATTTTAAAGCCACAAATCTATATCCTATAGCCTTATTATAAAATATTGATCTACACCCATATATGAAAATCAAATCAAAGCAACTCCTTTCCATGTCAAAAAGGAAAAGACCATAACATTGCAACCACATAGGATATGAGTCAGGGTTGAGGCCATTGGTGAGAGAAGAGTAGAGTATTAGTGTATGGCCTTAGAGAGAGAGAGTGGCTTTTTCAACAGTTTTCCTTAACATGGTGCATTATTTTCCTGAGTAGTTCTTGGTTGATTCTTGCCATTTACACTTCCAGACACTGACTCCCATTTACACTTCCAGACACTGACTATCTCAGTATAAATGTCCTACACTTTTAAGTATTGTGAATTACTTTTTGGCTTTTAACAAGAGAAAGTTGAAATTCTTTTTTTTTCAGATGCTAAGGGTCCTAATTATTTGTGCATGCAAGAAGTGAATAATCAACACGACAAATTTGGAAACTGTCATGGACACTGCATGTATGAGTATGTACTCATCAAATTGTATATTATCAATGTGTGGTTTGTGCAGTTCAACATGCACCTAGTGTTTGCAGGCGGGTCATGTGTTGCCTCTCATAATAGGTACATGTTCTCAACAGCTTGCTATTATGGTCTGCCTTAAGGTTTTGAATTATCCTTATATACTGAATTATTATTGAACTAATGGATAAGACAGCTAAGTGACAATATGCAACTTTTCTACCTTGTATTGCCAGTGATATATTGTGTGGAAAATTGGCTTGCTACTGGAACCACGAAAAAATCATTAAAACAAGCAAATATGATCTCCAGTACACTTACATTGCAGGCCAGGTGTGTGTGTCCGCACACTCAAGAAATGCTCACGAAGTTGATTATTCCTATGTACAGGATGGTACTATTTGTGGTAGTCACAAGGTAAATACACTTTTACTTGATGTTTATGCATTGTGTGTGTTTATAATGGATTTATGAATACATATGAATGTGAACATACATACACATGAGTGTGTATGTAATTTCTCTTGCTTTATCACAATAACGAAGTTTAATGGTGTATAACTAAAATGATGTAACAATATCCATTGTTTGTGTGCTAACCAGTAATTAATATTTAAAAGGAAAATCTGATTGCTATTGGTCAAAGAAGCTTTCATTTTGTTAATATTTTTCTTAGGAATTTGGCTATTGATAATTAAACTTGTTTTCTCTCACTTGGATTTCTAAACTTCCTTCTTAGGCTAGGATCTGGTCTGCAATAATTTATACAAGCCATGAACAAAAGGAGTCTAAAAACATACTGAAAAAAATCACAACCAAATGTCACCAAAATGTCAGGTTGTCAGAATAATGTGAATACTAAAGAGAAACGAAAGGGCCAAGTATTTAGTCAAAGATAATTATTACTAACTAATAAAGTACATCATGTACTTTTCTACTTTCATAATACCCTAACACTCCCAAACACAATCATTACAAAAGAAAATTTCCTTCTATGAGACAGAATAATAAAACATAAGGTTCAAGTGTCATTTATTTTTTCTTTTTGATGAAAATTCCCCAAAGTCTAACAAAGTGCTCAGATAAGTAATTGTAGGGCCTTAGAGCAAAAGTATAGGCTGAGGCTGAAAAAAAGAGAGAGAGAGAAGTGCCTAAGTAGTCCCATAAGTCATTATTTATTTTCTTCAACAAAGCAATCTCAAATGGCTAAGAAACACTTAGGTGTTCGACATTCTTAGCTGTCAGGGAAATGCAAATCAAAACAACTCAGATTTCATCTTATGCCTGTCAGAATGGCCAACACCAAAAACACAAGTGACAGCTCATGCTGGAGAGAATGTGGAATAAGGGGAACATTCCTCCATTGCTGGTGGGAGTGCAAACTTGTACAGCCAATTAGGAAGTCTGTGTGGTGGTTCCTCAGGAAACTGGGAATTAACCTAGCACAAGACCCAGCTATACTGCTTTTGGACATATGCAGAAAGGATGCTCAATCATACCACAAGGACACTTGGTCAACTATGTATTTATTTGTATTAGCAAGAACCTGGAAATAACCTAGCTGACCCTCTACTGAGGAATAGATAAAGAAAATGTGATATGTTTATACAATGGAATACTACTCAGCTGTTAAAAACAAGGATACCAGGAAATTGGATAGAACGGAAACAAATCATCCTGAGTGAAGTAACATAGACCAATAAAGACAAACATGGTATCTACTCACTCATAAATGGATATTAGTTGTAAAGTAAAGGATAAATAAGCTACAATCCACAGATCCAGAGAGACTAGGTAACAAGGAGAGTTCATGGAGGTGGGCACCCAGCTTTTCCTAGGAAGGAGAAACCGAAGAGAATTTGTGACTGGACTGAGGGCAGGTGGGGATGGGACCATGAGCACTCATGTTGCTGGGCTCTGAGTGGGAGTGGGGTGGGGGGGGGCAGGGGGGG